TCTATTATGTTTGCGACGTTCGCCTCGCCATGTCGTCGAGTTCGACTCCTATGCCACGTCTTCGAAATGATGTAGAGTTGGCCCTCACGAGGTAGGTCATTGGTCGTGCCCATCTATGACAGATCATTGATTGTGGAGCCAGGAACGCTCGCTAGATCAACGATCTCAATCTTGGAATCAGATCATGAGCTGAATTTCAGATTTGAGAATTTTATGGAGTGGGGCCTAGGAGATCTCATCCTGTGAGGGTCAAATAAAGAATCTCTCCTATTTCCTCAAAGGAATAGATAGGGTTTTGCGGACGGGGCTTGCCTGCGCCCCCGGCGTGCGCCCATCGGTGCGCCGCTGACACGCGTCACCCATCCATGCCTCCCCCTTCCGTGGCCCTTTTTAGCCGCAGAAAAAAAAATCCGGAAATACCCATCGACTAGTACAACGCTGCCCCAATTCGATCAGCTTTCTCTATTCAGGCCTTAACATGCAATTTCATTGGGGCACAAAGCAACTCTGAACCTCACCCAGTTCTCTGGACGAAGCCACCAAGGAATACTTACAAGCTGAACGTGGATGCTGCCTATTTTGAGAATGGTTTGGGAGGTGCAGGTGTTGTGGTCCGTAATGACAGAGGAGAGGCGATTGCAGGCGCGTGTTGGCCTTTACAGAACCTTCTCGATTCAGCAACAGCTGAAGCTACTGCACTTTTGAAAGGTCTGAGCCTTATTGAATCACTTGGATGTGCCCCAGTTATTATTGAATCAGATTCGTTGAAACTTGTTGAAGCTTTCAAAGGAATCATTCAAGTTTGGTCTCCCTATTCAGCAATTCTAGCAGAGTGCTTTCAGATAGCGTACAGGATTGGCTCGATCTCCTCACAACACTGCTACAGGGAAGCTAACTACGTGGCGCATAACTTAGCTAGATATGCTTTTGTTTCTAATAGTACTTACTTTTGGGATGATGATCCTCCGGATTTCATTATACCGGCTGTAACGAATGATGTATCCTTATTTAATATGAAATAAAGCGCGCCATAAAGGCTTTTCCTAAAAAAAACACGGGCAGATAAATCAGAATATCCATATATTCTTGCAACGACAATTTAATCTACTTCAAATTCGCATCTAAAAAGAAAAATCTACTTCAAACATGAGGGGGGCAGGCCGATGCAACTCCGTCCTCCGAACCGCAAAGCCGCCGGGGACCCTGCAGGCCCAAAGCTCGTCGGCGAGGGGGAGCGCGGACGGCGGCAGCCATGGACGGATAAAAGACGTGCCACTCCTGTCTTGAGTTTTCTTATAGCCACATGAGGAGATGTAATAAAAATGTGGAACGAGCAGGCATGTACGCAGGTTCTTGCACTTGTCTTGCTTGCAATTTCTGTATAAACACCCCCACAACTTATCCGCTCTGTATATATTTTTTATTTATTAAAGAATAACCGTTATGATCTACTCCCTCCGTTCTGAATTATTTGTCTTGGATTTGTCTAGATACAGAGGTATCTAGCACTAAAATGAGTCTAGATACATCCGTATCTAGACAAATCCAAGACAAGTAATTCGGAACGGAGGGAGTAGAAACGACTACTGTTCTAAACCTTAAATACTGTATCCGTGGATTTCAGCATGCACGTCAAGGTAGCATTTCCATGCAGTTTTGGGTGTATCGTTGAACAAAGTGGACCAGAAGCATTGTTGAATTTTAAACAAACACCTTATACTTACTGCAGCTTGTGTTGTAGGGCTTTGATGAATACATGAATCTGGTCTTGGAGGATGCTGAGGAGATCAACACCAAGAAAAACACTAGGAAGTCTCTCGGTAATGAAATGAGTACTCTGCTATCATTTATTTATTTTGTTCTCAGACTAGTGATAACTCCATAATTTGTCTCCTCAATCATTTGCAGGTCGGATCCTCTTGAAAGGAGATAACATTACACTAATGATGAACACGTAAGCAAAAAGGCAAACCAAGTTACCTTTGTATTTGAGTCTTTTTTTTTTGCTTTATTTGGTGTATACTTACCTAGTATTTGCTATTCATGTTTGCTTTTCAGGGGAAAGTAACAACAGCTCAGTGACTGTTCTATTGCAAGGATAACTAACAACCAACTTATCCTGAGCTCCTAGGGTTGCAAACTCGAGGCCGTAACAGATGTTCCTCTCTGTGTTCTCATCGAAATTTGATTGTAATATGATATATTTTGCCAGAGAGAATAGGCTCTGTGAGGTAAAAGTGTGCTATCCAGATCGTGAGCTTAACACTTGTGCTAGCTTAATTCAGAGGCATTGATGTTCTGGTGGTTTGTGCTCTCATTGAGATATGAACGTGGTGGTACTGATTGTTCTCTTGGAATTTTTTAGGCCCTTGTGTAAGATAAAAGTATCATGCTGTGAAAGTTCTTGTGAGAAATTACTTCTCCTCAGTTTGCATTTCAGCTGCCTGTATGCTATGTTTTCACGGTGAATGTTCTTTCTTAAGCAACATCTTGTTGATTCCATGCTTGATTTGCACCACACTTAAAATTAGCTTTCTTGTAGCGGTCATACGATACAAGTGCAGTGTTTTGCAAGCTTAGAATGTAGGTTTCTTGCAGCAGTCGGGAATCTAGATTTACATGCAAGTGCAGTGTCTTGCAAGCGAGGGATAATACAGAGTTTTGATTGAACAAAAAATTTGTGCACTCTGACCAAATTTACAACAGGTACCGAACATTATCACATTTCTGTTGATGTTCAAAGAACACCAAAGAAAGTGCGAGAAAATGGGCATATCACATATGGAAGAAAACAAAATAGCAAACTGTGACAAACTTGATATTTTTTCAAACTTTGCTTTCTTTCCATCGGCCATTTGAACAACAAAAGGAACATATATATTTAACCCATGACTTGCATCTTGGTTTAATTTTATACAATCATTTGGATGATAATATGCGTTCCAGGTTTCTTGTTTATTACGTCATCTTATTTAAACCGCAGACAGGAACAAGACGGGATCAGCTCGTAGGCTTGTTGTTGTCTTTGCTCTTCTTGCTCATCTGAACTGCAGTGGCACCCATGATGGCAACCAGGGTGCACAGCGGCACGAAGACGACGTTGGGGATTAAATGCACCTTGAACTTCTTGACCTGCGGGATGCTCTCGCCGCTCTTCTTGGCGATGATGGCCGCTGCTGGCGCAGCCAGGCCGGCCATGATGAAGAGGCTGTCGTCAACTTTGGCCTCGTGGACATTTTCCTGCATATACTCGGTGAACATCTTCTTCCTTCCGGGCTCGTCCGCCGCTGCCCATTTTTTATGGAATCTCTGCAATATGCGCATGTACGGTTCAGTTGAGTTTTTCGGTGATATGTAACAGTCAATTGCTAGATGTCCTTAAATATTTACACAGAATCACATCCCTTCGAAAAGAAAAGAAAAACTGATGGATGATGGGTTTACCCTTATATCTTCAAGATCTGGAGTATCAAAATCTTGGCCAGGCAACACAGTGTTGAAATACCTACAGTGTTTTCGGATGATGACATGAATAAAAGGTTTGGGACAAGAAGTGCAGGCAATGTAACTGCACAAACAGGTAGCTTACTTGCAGAAGTCGACATATGCAAGATGAAATTCTTCAAAGGTGCGGGTATCCTTGTTCTTAAAATGTCGATCATAGACTTGTCCGGTAGTTACCGCGCCCAATCCTGGCACTCCTGAGAGGAGCAGCAGCACGAGTTAACAAATTTAGAATATGGGACAGAAGCTCAAGCAACAAATAAAACAGCGCGGAACCACAAGAACCATGTAATATCATGTGGCACCGGCATATAGAACAAAACAAAACCATAGAAAGAACTGAGACTTGAGAACTTACCTAACTTGTTTAACGCACTGAAGGGAAGGCCCATTATTGGTGCAAGCAAGAGGACAGAGAGATTTTTAGGATAGACCCATCAAGGGAACTCGAGTGTTTATATAGTCCGAGAGAACCAAGGGAATGCAAGCTTGGAATGCATTCCTTTCTTCCCTTTTTGTCCTACAAGTTCTCTTTCTGCCCTTTCTAGTTGATTCCTGCCCTGGGAGTGAAGTTAGAGTTGGCCTGGCTCTTGAGCTGCAGGAATCATTCGAGGGAAAACCACTGCTAGTTGGGTTCCTGCAATAAGGGTTAAGGTCTATTTTCTCTTGCCTCCTAAAGAATGTTCTAAACATAATTTACCAGGCGACTTAGGCTTGGCCCAACTGCTGAAAGAATGTGTGGCTGTATAATAAAAGCCGACTATTTTATATGTTGAGATTAATAAGGTGCCAAACTTCAAAAGCTTTAAATTATGGTAGTGTAATTTTAAGAGCATTCTAACTTCTAACATTGCTTTTTAGCAGAACAGGGAGCTAAGCTACAAGGATGATGCTAGACGTGCTTTCTGGCACATGTATATGCTTTTGCTTGCATAAGACGAATTGAATAACCATGCTTTAGCTCATAAAGGAGAGATTCCTACTGCTGTTTCCCTTTTATGTCTTTTAGAGGCCATCTGTTTATGTTCTGAGTTCCAAGAAACAGCACGCAATTGCAGACACTTGAATAAGAAGATCCATCAGGCACTTTACCCAGATTCCAGTTTTGATACAAGTCGTTGTACTGCAAAAGACAGACTATTACCAATATATGCATAGACATTTGTTGTCAGAACTCAGAAGAGCTCATGGAAGAATGTCAAAAAAATGCATTGCATTGTCTGCTTGTCACGGTTCAATGACGGTGTCAGATCATTTTATGTTCATTCTTGCAGGCCATGCCAAAAAATGGGCACAATTGGTCTCACCTTAATTTCCACCCGACTATCTTGTGCCTGAGCAAGATTACACTTCAGATATTGCGGTCCAGCAAAATAATATGGCTTGGTTTTCTCATAGATCTTGTGGTAGCCCATAAAAAGGGTCAGATTCCCCTCCTTCACTCCAATCATAATGACCAGAGCATATTTTGTCATTTTGAATTTGTGTAGGTCATTTCAAGAATTCTGCTCAACCCAGGTAGATCCGACATTCTTTTCGAAACCCCTGTCCTTCATCACCTCCCGCAGCTTGTTAATCTCCTCCCACAAGCCAGCATTCGCATACAAATTTGACAGCTCGACATAAATCCCAACATTCCTAGGCTCCAGTTCAATTGCCTTCCGAGCTGCCAGTCTCCCGAGCTCAACATTGCGGCAATCACAGCAAGCACTGAGAAGAGCGCCCCATGTAGACACGCCGATATTACCTCCACATTCCTTCCTGCTAGCGATCTCCCATGCCCTGGCTACTTCTCCTGCCCGGCATAGCATGTTGACCACACAACTGTAGTGCTCTGGTGCAGGCACCAGCCCGTAATCTGCGCGCATAGACTCGAAATACTTGAGCCCCTTGGCAACATCCCCAGCATGCTGGCATGCTGAGAGCACGGCCAGAATAGCCAGATCGTCAGGCCAGACCCCGGAAGCCACCATCTGGTCATAAGTCTGGATAACCTCCTTGCACTTCCCATGCCGCCCATAAGCATTCAGCATCGCCGTCCATAGCACAACATCGTCTCCACCAGCGTTGCCCCACAGCGCCAGCCTGAACACCCGCTCCGCGTGTCCAATGAGCCCGCATTTGGCGTACATGTCCACGAGCGCGCTGATCAGGAACACGTCGGACCCCACACCTCTGACCCTCCTGATCGCATGCCCGTGCGCCTCTCCACCCAGATCACCATTCGCCGTCTCTCCGCAGGCCCTCACCACGGCCGTCATCGTGTACCCGTCGGCCGGCAGCCCATACTCCGGAAACCTCCTCGCGAACTCCAGAGCCGGAGCCCACTTCCCCGCGCTCACGTAGGCCGCGAGAACGGCGTTCCCGAAGACGCCATTCCTGACGGGGCTTTCGTCGAACAGCCTGCGGGCGTCCAGGAACCGGCCGGACCCGCCGTAGGACGCGGCGAGCGCGCAGGACACGAAGACGCTGCCGAGCCACCCGGACCTCGCGGCGAGCGCGTGGAGGGGCCCCGCCTCGGCGGCGGAGGCGTGGCGGAGCGCGGAGCAGAGCGCGTAGGAGTCGAGCGGGCCGGCGGCGGCGGGGCAGCGGTGCGCGAGCGCGAGGGCCGGGAGGGCGAGGGAGCGGAGGCGGGGGTGCGAGGAGGTGGAGGCGGCGGCGAGCAGGGAGTTGAAGGAGAGGCGGGGAGGGAGGCGGGAAGGGGAGGATCTGAGGAGCGCGGCGTGGAGCACGGCGGCGGGGTTCGGCGCCGCCGGAAGCACCGGAAGGGAGGGAGGCGGCGGCATTCAAAGAAGCGTTTTTTTGTTTTGTTTTCTTTGAGGGGTTTCAAAAGAAGCGTTATTTTGCTTGATTTGTTTTCTTAATCCCATTTCCCCTCCGTATTGCATTGCAACCACTGTTACATCATTTAGTAGCAAGAGAGAAATGAGCTCGCTAGGAGGCTCATCAAGAGCAACGATATTAGCCTTCCCAGGACAGTGGCGCAAAAAAAAAAGTGTAGAAAAATTCACACCTTGATAGCAATCGTCGTGAACTGAGTGTAACTAGATGGTTAGTTTTTTAGAGGAAACCAGTCAACTTAGATTTACCGGTGCTCGTATTTTTCTGGATTTATTTTAGACTTTTCAGCGATGCTCATTTAGTGAGAGGGGATGTTCCCGTCAAGCTCAGAGGTGGTCATAGAGGTTTGGTGTGTGCGCGCGTTCATATGGGGCGTGTTTGGTTGCTGTTGTGAACAGTTCCTGCATTGCATACACTTCTCAACCTAGGCTGGTTGAGCAAAAACAGGCACTAATGCGCCATCTGCAAGTTGTTTGGTTGCCTGCATCTAGTGTCCCTGCATTAGGTAATACGCAAGTGCACTTTGTTTGGTTGCCTGCATTGGCCCTAGTGGCACAAGAACACGGCGTTTGGTTGCATACGACATACATGTTGTGCTTACCTTGTACCCTAGTTGGTGAGCTTACCCACAATGATCACATCTAGCACACCAACGCCACAACACAGCAATGACGATGAACTGAGCAAAGATGATGAAGTTCTTCAGCTTCAGCCCAAACTGATGATCCACCTTAGCACCTTCCACTTTGACACCTCCGACCTTGCCACTGTCAACATTGCTGCTGTTGGAAATATGCCCTAGAGGCAATAATAAAAGTATTATTATTATATTTCCTTGTTCATGATAATTGTCTTTTATTCATGCTATAACTGTATTATCCGGAAATCGTAATACACGTGTGAATACATAGACCACAATATGTCCCTAGTGAGCCTCTAGTTGACTAGCTCGTTGTGATCAACAGATAGTCATGGTTTCCTGGCTATGGACATTGGATGTCGTTGATAACGGGATCACATCATTAGGAGAATGATGTGATGGACAAGACCCAATCCTAAGACTAGCACAAAAGATCGTGTAGTTCATTTGCTAGAGCTTTGCCAATGTCAAGTATCTTTTCCTTAGACCATGAGATTGTGCAACTCCCGGATACCGTAGGAATGCTTTGGGTGTACCAAACGTCACAACGTAACTGGGTGGCTATAAAGGTGCATTACAGGTATCTCCGAAAGTGTCTGTTGGGTTGGCACGAATCGAGACTGGGATTTGTCACTCCGTGTAAACGGAGAGGTATCTCTGGGCCCACTCGGTAGGACATCATCATATGCGCAATGTGACCAAGGAGTTGATCACGGGATGATGTGTTACGGAACGAGTAAAGTGACTTGCCGGTAACGAGATTGAACAAGGTATCGGTATACCGACGATCGAATCTCGGGCAAGTAAAATACCGCTAGACAAAGGGAATTGAATACAGGATTGATTAAGTCCTTGACATCGTGTTTCATCCGATGAAATCATCGTGGAACATGTGGGAGCCAACATGGGTATCCAGATCCCGCTGTTGGTTATTGACCGGAGAACGTCTCGGTCATGTCTGCATGTCTCCCGAACCCGTAGGGTCTACACACTTAAGGTTCGATGACGCTAGGGTTATAAAGGAAGCTTGTATGTGGTTACCGAATGTTGTTCGGAGTCCCGGATGAGATCCCGGACGTCACGAGGAGTTCCGGAATGGTCCGGAGGTAAAGATTTATATATGGGAAGTCCTGTTTTGGACACCGGAAGAGTTTCGGGGTTTATCGGTATTGTACCGGGACCACCGGGAGGGTCCCGGGGGTCCACCAAGTGGGGCCACCAACCCCGGAGGGCTGCATGGGCCATGTGTGGGAGGGAACCAGCCCCAAATGGGCTGGTGCGCCCCCCACAAGGGGCCCAAGGCGCAGGGGAGAGTGGGAGGGGGCAAACCCTAGGGCAGATGGGCCTTAAGGCCCATGCTCCCTGCGCCTCCCTCTCCTTCCCCTCTGGCCGCCGCACCAGATGCCATCTGGAGGCTGGCCGCACCCCTTGGGGTGAGAAACCCTAAAGGGGGCGCAGCCCCCCTCTCCCCCTATAAATAGTGAGGCATAGGTCTGCCCATGGGACACACAGAATACACGTGATTCGATCTCTGCCTTTGGTTGCAGCCCTCTCCTCTCTCCCAAGTACTCCTCCTCTCCCGTGGCGCTTAGCGAAGCCCTGCAGGATAGCCACGCTCCTCCATCACCACCACGCCGTTGTGCTGCTGTTGGATGGAGTCTTCCTCAACCTCTCCCTCTCTCCTTGCTGGATCAAGGCGTGGGAGACATCGTCGAGCTGTACGTGTGTTGAACGCGGAGGTGCCGTCCGTTCGGCACTAGGATCATCGGTGATCTGAATCACGACGAGTACGACTCCATCAACCCTGTTCACTTGAACGCTTCCGCTTAGAGATCTACAAGGGTATGTAGATGCACTCCCCTTTCTACTCGTTGCTGGTCTCTCCATAGATAGATCTTGGTGTTACGTAGGAAAATTTTGAATTTCTGCTACGTTCCCCAACAGTGGCATCATGAGCTAGGTCTATTGCGTAGATTCTTTGCACGAGTAGAACACAAAGTAGTTGTGGGCGTTGATGTTGTTCAATATGCTTACCGTTACTAGTCCAATCTTGTTTCGACGGTATTGTGGGATGAAGCGGCCCAGACCGACCTTACACGTACTCTTACGTGAGACAGGTTCCACCGATTGACATGCACTTGGTGCATAAGGTGGCTAGCGGGTGCCAGTCTCTCCCACTTTAGTCGGAACGGATTCGATGAAAAGGGTCCTTATGAAGGGTAAATAGCAATTGGCATATCACGTTGTGGTCTTGCGTAGGTAAGAAACGTTCTTGCTAGAAACCCATAGCAGCCACGTAAAACATGCAAAAACAATTAGAGGACGTCTAACTTGTTTTTGCAGGGTATGCTATGTGATGTGATATGGCCAAAAGGATGTGATGAATGATATATGTGATGTATGAGATTGATCATGTTCTTGTAATAGGATTCACGACTTGCATGTCGATGAGCATGACAACCGGCAGGAGCCATAGGAGTTGTCTTTATTTATTGTATGACCTGCGTGTCATTGAAGAACGCCATGTAAACTACTTTACTTTATTGCTAAACGCGTTAGTCATAGAAGTAGAAGTAGTCGTTGGCGTGACAACTTCATGAGGACACGATGATGGAGATCATGATGATGGAGATCATGGTGTCGTGCCGGTGACGATGATGATCATGGAGCCCCGAAGATGAAGATCAAAAGGAGCAAAATGATATTGGCCATATCATGTCACTATTTGATTGCATGTGATGTTTATCATGTTTATGCATCTTGTTTACTTAGGACGACGGTAGTAAATAAGATGATCCCTTACACAATTTCAAGAAGTGTTCTCCCCTAACTGTGCACCGTTGCTACAGTTCGTCGCTTCTAAGCACCACGTGATGATCGGGTGTGATGGATTCTTACGTTCACATACAACGGGTGTAAGACAGTTTTACACAGCGAAAACACTTAGGGTTAACTTGACGAGCCTAGCATGTGCAGACATGGCCTCGGAACACGGAGACCGAAAGGTCGAGCATGAGTCGTATAGTAGATACGATCAACATGAAGATGTTCACCGATGATGACTAGTCCGTCTCACGTGATGATCGGACACGGCCTAGTTGACTCGGATCATGTAATCACTTAGATGACTAGAGGGATGTCTATCTGAGTGGGAGTTCATAAGATGAGCTTAATTAGCCGGAACATAGTCAAAAGACCTTTTACAAATTATGTCGTAGCTCGCGCTATAGTTCTACTGTTTAGATATGTTCCTAGAGAAATAATAGTTGAAAGTTGATAGTAGCGATTATGCGATCAGTAGAAAGCTTATGTCCTTAATGCACCGCTCAGCGTGCTGAACCCCAAACGTCGTTTGTGGATGTTGTGAACATCGGACATACACGTCTTGATAACTACGTGATAGTTCAGTTAAACGGTTTAGAATTGAGGCACCAAAGATGTTTTCAAAACATCGCGGAACATATGAGATGTTTCGAGGGCTGAAATTGGGATTTCAGGCTTGTGCCCACGTCAAGAGGTATAAGACCTCCGACGATTTTCTTAGCCTGCAAACTAAGGGAGAAAAGCTCAATCGTTGAGCTTGTGCTCAGATTGTCTGAGTGCAACAATCACTTGAATCGAGTGGGAGTTGATCTTCCAGATGAGATAGTGATGGTTCTCCAAAGACATAGCCACCAAGCTGCTAGAGCTTTGTGATGAACTATAATATATCAGGGATAGATATGGTGATCCTTGAGGTACTCACGATGTTTGACACCGCGAAAGTAGAAATCAAGAAGGAGCATCAATTGTTGATGGTTGGTGAAACCACTAGTTTCAAGAAGGGCAAGGGCAAGAAGGGATACTTCATGAAACGGCAAATCAGCTACTGCTCTAGTGAAGAAACCCAAGGTTGAACCCAAACCCGAGACTAAGTGCTTCTGTGATAAGGGGAATAGTCACTAGAACAGAATTACCCTAGATACTTGGTAGATGAGAAGGCTGGCAAGGTCGATAGAAGTATATTGGATATACGTTATGTTAATGTGTACTTTACTAGTACTCCTAGTAGCACCAGGGTATTAGATACCGGTTCGGTTGCTAAGTGTTAGTAACTCGAAATAAAAGCTACGGAATGAACGGAGACTAGCTAAAGTGAGCTGACGATATGTGTTGGAAGTGTTTCCAAGTTTGATGTGATCTAACATCGCACGCTCCCTCTACCATCAAGATTAGTATTAAACCTGAATAAGTGCTCTTGCACCTATAGGAATGGTTCATTGAATCTTGATCTTAGTGATACACATTTTCATGCCAAAAGATATA